CTTAACACTCCTCTCTCTCTCTCTCTCTCTCTCTCTCTCTCTCTCTCTCTCTCTCTCTCTCTCTCTCTCTCTCTCTCTCTCTCTCTCTTGCTTGCTTGAGATTTTCAAGCTTTGTTCACTCTGTCATCTTGTGACAGGCATGTTTGCCCGCTCCTCTGTGAGTAACTCAGTCGAGAGAATCCAATTGCGCGGTTTTGTCTGTCTGCAGCGTGTGATTGTCGAGTTTTATTCTCTCTCTAGATTCTCGAGCTTTATTCACTCTCTCATGTTGTAACAGGCATGTTTGCCCTCACCTCTGTGATTGACCCGGTTGCGTGTTTTTGTCCGTCTTCAGCATGTGATTCTCTCGAGTTTCATTCTCTGTTTGTCCTCGTGACCGGCGTCTCTGCCCGGTTTTCGTAAAAGAACTCTTCGGACCGTTTCTCGATTTATGCGTGCTTGGGTACGGGTCCTGCTAATCTTCTTCTTCCTTTTCTTTTTTTTTTTTTTCTTTTTTTTTTTTCTTTTTTTTTGGAAAACAAAGCCAGTAGATCAGCTAGTAGAGGTGAGATAAGATCACCCCAACAGGCGGGGAATACCCTCCTCCCTCCACCTGCCAGCATTGATTGCCCTGGAAACCAGGGGATTGACTGTTCAGATGACAAGGGGAAAGAGAGCAATATCAAACGACGTTGAGAGAAGGGGGGGTCCTCTTCAGCCCTGCTGCTGGAGGGCGCCCGACGGTCGCTGACCACCCAGCGTCCCTTCCTCCCATCTTGAGAGCAGCACTGTGACTTGCTTATTGTTGCTAGTGTGACGCCCCGGGGGCCACCGGGAGATAACACCGTGGTCAGTTTGGGATTACGGCCAGAGAAAGGGGGGGAGGCGGGAAGGGGTCCAAAGAAAGGGGGTGAGGCGGGAAGGGGTCCATAGAAAGGGGGTGAGGCGGGAAGGGGTCCGGGAACTCAGACGGGGTTCTCATTGGGAAGGAAGGCCCAGTATAAGTCCGGTCGTTGAATGGCAGGTTATACTCCTTGGAAGGACCTTGTCCTGTCAAGACCGTTCCCCCCCCTCCCCTCACTCAACCCGTGCTATCCATCCCCCCTGCAGTCCCTCTAGCCAGTCCGTGCAGAAGGTCGTAAAATTGGCCCCTTAATATCCCGGTCGGTGTGGAAGATGTCTAGTTAAGCTTTGAGCTTGCGCCACCTTTTGTGTTACCTCCAGCTCAATTCCAATTCCAATTTTAAATTTTTAATGGATCCAATACCTCTCTGTTGATACAGTCACCCTTTTTTTTTTCTTTTTTTTTTTTTTTACAAAAAAACACTCAGCCCATTTCCTTATGCCCACCAAAGGAGCGGTCAGGGTCTCTATCCATTACTACTTCTCCACTTTCAAAAATTATCAAGAGTCCCTTTCCGCCGACGTTTTCGGAGCTGTCGGACTCTTTCAAAAACCCGGAATACCCGGTCTTTGCTGCGCTGGCTCTCGAACGCGGGACTGCCAAACTTGGGAGCGTGTTGCCCGACATCGGCCAGGATCTCTATCCATTACTGGTTCTCGACTCTCAGAAATTATCACGAGTCCCTTTTCACCGAAGTTTTCAGAGCTGTCGGACTCTGTAAAAAACCCGGAATAACCGATCTTTGCTGCGCTGGCTCTCAAACGCGGGACTGCCAAGCTCGGGAAAGTATTGCCCGACGTCGGCCAGGGTCTGTATCCGTTATTGGTTGTCGACTCTCGAAAATTATAACGAGTCCCTTTTCGCCGAAGTTTTCGGAGATGTCCGTCTCTCTCGAAAAACCCGGAATAACTGGTCTTTGCTGCGCTGGCTCTCAAACGCGAGACTGCTAAACTTGGGAGAGTATTACCCGACATCGGCCAGGGTCTCTATCCATTACTGCTTCTCGACTCTTTAAAATTATCAGGAGTCCCTTTTCACCGAAGTTTTCAGAGCTGTCGGATTCTTTCTAAAACCCGGAATACCCGGTCTTTGCTATGCTGGCTCTCGAACGCGGGACTGCCAAACTTGGGAGAGTATTGCCCGACATCGGTCTAGGTCTCTATCCATTACTGCTTCTCGACTCTCACAAAGTATCACCAGTCCTTTTTCGCCGAAGTTTTCGAAGCTCTCGGAATCTTTTGAAAACTTGGAATACCCGGTCTTTGCTGCGGTGGCTCTCGAACGCGGGACTGCTAAACTTGGGAGAGTGTTACCCGACATCGGCCAAGGTCTCTATCCATTACTGCTTCTCGACTTTCAAAAATTATCACGAGTCCCTTTTCGCCGAAGTTTTCGGAGCTGTCGGACTCTCTCGAAAACCCG